TTGACACCTGTTGCCCTGAGGTTAACCAAGATGCGGTAAAGAATTCGGGATCTACAGTGCCTCCCTCCACGACAACAAGCACATCCAGCACCTCCACGGCTGCGACCAAGAGCACGACCAAGGCGAAGGCGTCGACAACACCGACGACCACGAGCAAAGCGAGCGCCAGCAAGGCAACAACCACCACTGCAGCACAAAGCACGTCACAGGAAGAATTCCAGTCCACCAGTGAGACATCTACAACCTCTGATGGGGATGAAGAAGGCTCGCCAGAAGGATTGGATGATGAAGAATCCACTACTGGGGGAGAAGATCCAGGTTCTGATTCTGAAAGTACCACCACAGAATCACCTGACGAATAGAGTTTCACTCTCGCAACGCCACATACACCGGCGAAAAATATGCGAAGCTATGCATACCGACTGTAGTGCTGGGAGTGCTTGCTGATCTTCATTGTGCAATTGTAGGAAAGTAATCCAGCCACCTGCAACCCGCAGAACCCTGGATTCTGTGCGTTACAGGGTTCGTTCCCTTGTTCTTCTTGCTCCCTCCGACCCAGGGTTCCACTATTTGACTACCCCAAGATAGGCTTAAATTAGGGGTTCTGGGTTTAAGCCTAGCCTGGGGTAGTCAAAAAGTGGAACCCTGCTCCGACCAACGGAAGCTCCGCGACGTTTCTTCGCTTCGTAGGGCTCCCGGCCCAAATTGAAGCTGGATGGGGGCAATAGGCTCCCGTCCCTCGGGCCTCCGTGCCCGCGCGGGAGCTTGGCCTTTGGGCGCTGGGAAAGCTGGGAGCTCACGTTCGGCAAAACATATGAGCCACGGACAAAACACACGAAGACCACTTTATCAAGGCGGGGTACGTTTTTGCATAACACATGCCAAAACCATGGAAAACGATAAGGTCTCCCCCAAAAACGATAACCCTTAGCTAACACACGGCTCTATAATAACCCCTGCAGTTGCAACTTAGCTAGGGTGGGACTCTTGCGTGGCTATCGTACAACGAGAAGGCGAGTCGCCACTTTCGAGCTGGAGCTGCCAAGGTGTGCTTCGTAAATACGACGCTTGTACTGAGAAGTTGCGATTTTCGAGCTGGAGCTGCGGAAGTGTACTTCGCGTACCAGACTTGCACGACAAAGTTGCGATTTTCGAGCTGGAGATGCGGAAGTGTACTTCGCTTACTAGACTTGTACTACAAAGTTGCGATTTTCGAGCTGGAGATGCGGAAGTGTACTTCGCGTACTAGACTTGTACTACAAAGTTGCGATTTTCGAGCTGGAGCTGCGGAAGTGTACTTCGCGTACACACTTGCGCTACCAACTTGCGATTTTCCAAATGCGGAAGTGTACTTTGCGTACTAGGATTGCGCTACAAAGTTGCGATTTTCGAGCTGGAGCTGCGGAAGTCTACTTCGCGTACTAGACTTGTACTACACAGTTGCGATTTTCGAGCTGGAGCTGCGGAAGCGTACTTCGCGTACTAGACTTGTACTAGAAAGTTGCGATTTTCGAGCTGGAGATGCGGAAGTGTACTTCGCGTACTAGACTTGTACTACAAAGTTGCGATTTTCGAGCTGGAGCTGCGGAAGTGTACTTCGCGTACTAGACTTGTACTACAAAGTTGCGACTTTCGAGCTGGAGCTGCGGAAGTGCACTTCGTGAACTAGACTTGTACTACAAAGATGCGATTTTCGATCTGGAGCTGCGGAAGTGTACTTTGCGTACTAGACTTGTACTGCAAAGTTGCGATTGTCGTGCTGGAGATGCGGAAGTGTACTTCGCTTACTAGACTTGTACTACAAAGTTGCGATTTTCGAGCTGGAGCTGCGGAAGTGTACTTCGTACTACAAAGTTGCGATTTTCGAGCTGGACCTGCGGAAGTGTATTTCGCGTACTAGACTTGTACTAGAAAGTTGCGATTTTCGAGTTGGAGATGCGGAAGTGTACTTCTCGTACTATAGACTTGTACTACAAAGTTGCGATTTCCGAGCTGGAGATGCGGAAGTGTACTTCGCGTACTAGAATTGTACTACAAAGTTGGGATTTTCGAGCCGGATCTGCCAAAGTTCGAAAACACTGTAAAACGATAAGGTCTCCCCCAAAAGCGATAACGTTCAAAAAAGTACTAGGGCCAAGTAAAGTGTTTCGTCCGCTCCTCATATGGGTCTGTCTTTTTTCGGTTGGAGGGTCTGGCTTTGAAGGCTAAGGTTGGAGGGTCTGGCTTGTTTGAAGGGAACCCATCCACAAACCGGCTTTGAGGGGAACCCAACCATCCACAAACATTCCCTCAGGGTGTGGAGGGCTGGACCCCAAAAAAGTGTGGGCTTCTAGTTCACTGTTGTGGTCACCTTGAAAGCCACCCAAAGGGTACCGAGAAGCGCGAGCCAAGCTTCGCGGTTGGCTGCGCAGCTCAGGTCAGCGCCATGGCGTCCGTGAGGGCCTGAGAGAATGGAGCGAGCTCGACTCACTGGGAATCCAATCTGTGGTCTGGGTGTGGCTCAAAAAACTTGGGCTCGGATTTCCCAACATGGGTTGCCCTGGTAAAAAGAAAAGGATCGACTGAAACCTGCGTGTAAGTCAGCTGTTTAATTTTGGCTCCAAAATGGGTTGCCCTATGGAAAAGGAGACGAACATCTGAGCTGTTGAATTTTGAGCACCCATGTATTCATGTGTTGTCCAATTGCTTCCTTTTGGAGGGACATGAACCCAGAAAACAGATCCCAGAGTCGCAGGCTTGCAAGCATCAGCCTAGATTTTGACCGACTGCAGCATCAGTTCAGAGCTCCGACTTCCGACTGCCTTTGCGTTATCTGGAGCTGCGGTTGGGCAGCGAAAACTCTGGCTAGGTCCCCCAGTCGTGCCCTTTTACCCTTTTTTTGGGGGAGGCTTCCCCTACTAAAATAGACTCCAGAAATAAAAAAGTTGGTACCAACTTATTCTAACCTCTCTACTGGAGGACCTAGATGGACTGCAAGCCGAGCTGATGGAGCTGGTTCGGTTCGCCGTGCGACGCAAGTGAGGTTAGGGGTGTCATGAGGCCCTTGAGAAAGGCGAACCAATATGAGAAGAATCTCCTTGCAAACCAAAGGTGCCTTATCAAATCTGTTATTGGCAGATTTGCAGAGTAAGGTTGCTCCCATATTAATGAACCCCTGTTGATTAACAGGGGGGTGTCCCTGGGGTTTATTGGGGGAATCATCACTTTTTGAGGGGGTGTTCCCCCCCATTAAGTGGATTCATATGGGGGGTCAACATGAAAGTGAGTAGATCCAGAGTTCCCACTTCTTGAGGGGATGTGTGTGTGTTTTTTAGCTGTTTAATATGGTGTCAACATTTGCAGGGTTCCGCTTCAAAGCGACTCCATGGGGGAAACCAACTCCCCCCCCCCAAAACACGCGGCTTCCACCGAGGACTCCTCCCAGATCGTGGTGAGCGTCGCCAGCTGGCGGCAGCCTCGGGATGTTCCGTTGGGTTCCCTGTGGCTTCCCCTTGGGACGAAAACGGAAAAGTGGGTACCCTCCCAAAAACATAGGCCTACGAAAAGCGGGTGTGAAAAACAGAGGCCCGAGTACAGCTGCACAAGACATCAGTTTTCACTGTTGTCGGCTTTCATACATCAAATTGCTTTGGTTGCCATTTATTTACAGAACTTCCTTCCGGGATGATGTGTTATCCTCTCACCAGCGCACCGCTCCTTTTAGAGGACTCTTCTTTGAACAGGAAAGTCTGCCTGTCTGTTGGTGCAAAACCACAGCTTGGAGTTCGAATCTCTCGAACACCCGAGCTTGGAGTCTCGAGGTGCGTATGCTCCGTGGGGATGATGGTCTTTAACAAGGTGGCCGTGTCCTTCTTTCCGGCGGAGCCACACCCCCAAGGGTGTGATGTCGGAGTTCAGACCCAGATATCCTGTAAAGCATGTCCTTAATTGGGGTGTGTAGGGAGCCTCTCCTTTGTGGTTTTAATGGAAAGCCAACAGGAAAACCCCTATTCTAGGCGGTCCCCCAAAAAACCACCCCCGGTTCACCTTGCTGGGGAGATTTCTTTTCAAGTGGACCAACCAAAAAGTTGTGTTCCTTCGGATGGCTTAGGAAAACCAAAGCCAACCAGAGTTCCCTGGCAGCATTGCAATCTTGAGCAGCGTGCAGCATTCTCACATTCTCACTTGCCAGCCACACAATTGCGTTGCGAAACGCAGCATCACGGAGGTGTGTCAAAATTGGGGGGGCCCGCAACCTGGTGCAAACTCAGAGGTGCTTCTTGGTTGCCCTCCAGATGGCCGTGGCATGCTTCGCGCTGCTGGCCTTCGCTTGGAGGCGCGGAGATTCTCGCCCAACCGGGGCACCTGAGAGGTTGGGACGGGACCAGGGCCATGTGCTGGATGGCGAAGTCCCATGCTTCATCACCTAAGAGACCCTGGAGTGATTCCAGTCTCCTGTAAATACCAACAAACGTTATGGTCGCAAAACATGGCTTTCAAAGTGGGGCGAAATGGATTTCGCAACCATCCACGGGTGTCCTTTGCATGGGTTTGGTGGAAATAGATGGGTTCTAGTGGAATAGAATTTGGTGTTGGTCCCCATTTACCCGAAAATCCCATCGACTTTTCTCCGAAAGGACACCTATGTTGCAGCCCAAAAGAATCAAAGGAGCACGGTACGTAATTAGGGGTCAGAAAATGCGTACGTCCCTTTGGGTAGGGCGCGTAAGTCCGCCTGGGACTTGGCAAGGACGATTCACATCGGCTCCCTCTACGACGTGATGAGGTGGATGATGGTGATACCGCCGCCTTCTCAGCTGCACTTTTCTGCGAAGTGGAAGGAATCCGAAGAAAATCAGTCACAATGGACTGAACTTGTTTTTCTTTGTCTGAGGGCTTCAGGTTTATGTTGTTGTTTTTGAATCCTAACAATCAGTCCCCGGGCGGTTTTGGGGGTTCAGGTTTATCAGCAGTGCCCTGCGTCGAGGTTCTTCAGCGGGATGTTGCTGACCTCCATGCCAGGTCCCGAGAGCTGCGACGCTGTTGGGGGTCCATACGGTGGATAGACGAAATCCATTTCGCACCACCGTTCAGAAAGATCCTGGAACCATTAAACCACATATTCTGGGTGAAGAATACTGTGGATGGACGAACTCCTGCACCACCTAAGAAACCCTGGAACTATGATTCCCCTGCAAATACCAACAAACAACTATTTTCAATCATGGTTTCTCCGTGGTGCGAATTGGATTTCGTCCATCCACGGTATCAATCAGCGTAGTTTGGGGTCGACATGCGGGGAAGGACCAGTGGGAAGCAAGGAGTGGCAAACTGAGTGCGTCCTTTTTCCTGGGACCCCCCCCAAAAAAAAGAGAAGAAGCCGATTTTCCTGTTGGTGTCCATTTGAAACCACCCAACCAAGGGGTACCCTGAAAATAAGACGCACTCGTATTGGGACGAAAGAAAGCACCAGGCTGGCGCTGAAGAATGCACCCATGTCCTTGGTGGTGGTGCTTCGTTGCCTTTCCCCCGCCGCAGGCTTAGAGGGCACGACTGTGTCTGTGGGTCACTTGCGCGTTGGTTTGTTTGAAGGTCGCCTCGGATGGTCGGGGGGTTCAAAGGAAGCCAACCGAAAACCAACACCTTGGGTCCCCGAGTTTGGCACATACCCTCGCGTCGGAAACGGAAGGAATCTGAGCTTCTTGGCCTCCAGATCCCGGGTGGCGTTCCGCTGCTCGCCAGTTGGACTCGGGCTGTTCTAAGTGTTGATTCCCCATGCTCTTCATCGTTCTCTTTAGAAGCCACCCATTTTCCTGTTCTTTGATTGGGCCTGTTCTTTGAAGAGAAGGATCCCTGAAGAGAATGGGGAAGGTACAGCTGGAGCTGTGGAAAGTGTTCGGCGCACCAAGATCGCGGGCCTCGCGGTGGAGAGCTTCTACCCAAAGCCCATTCAGGCAGAGCGCCACTGTCAGGTGGCTGTGGGTGTCAAAACCAACAGTACCAGGTTCTTCCATTTGTTTAAGAGGTGTTTTTTTCCTTTGTTGGTTTTGAAAGGAAACAATCACTACTGGAAATATTTTATTTTTCCAGGGGGCTTAAGCAAATGGAAATTTGGGGTAGGTGAATTCACTACCCATTTTTGAACCTACTTTAGTGGGGTTTGGGATGTTGACTGGGGGTACGATCTGGATTTTGACCCATGGCAAGGTGAGTTTCAAGTAGATCTCAGATGGAAAGGGGCCCAAGTGGCCGAGCTTGGGCCAGACCAGTGTCAGCCACGTTGTTGGCAACGTATGTGCTGCTCATGTTTGGGTAGTATGTGTCAACATTCGGGGGGGGGGGGGCAAGAGTTTGTGTCTTTCAATTCGGTTTTCCATTAAACAAAGGCAACCCATTTGTCCTCTCGGCGTCCATGAGGTCGGCGCCTTGGGTGTTTTTTTAAGGATCCCCTCAACAACGGAGCAGAAAACCTACTCTGAGCAGGGAACATGTGGTCTCAGGGTATCGGTTTCGGGTAGTCCCCTATTGGTTTCAGGCCCTTCTTCGCTCAAGCTGTTGGCCGGACGCGCTTGCCTCGTTCACCCGTCGATTTGCAGGTGAGCGCGGGCATGCTGGGCTCCATCTTCATTATGCTTGCAGGCACGTGATTTGCACTCCCTCCAAAAAACCCGGGTGGCATGTACGGGTTTTTCAGTCATTTTCATGATTGGGCTTTCAATAGTCGCGACCTCAGCGTGTTTTCTGTGCATGCATACGAATATTTATCGCGCGAACTCAGACTCTGACCACTTGCGAGTGTGAGCCTGTGAACCGCTCTGAAGAAGGGCTTTTGGAAGGGGAAGGAGGACGAAATCAAGAAGCGAGTGTGGAAGCGGGACAGAAACAACGCGACCAAATCGTAAACCAATAAGATTTTGAGAAGGCCGGTGCAGAGCCAAATTCCAGCTGTCCTCAGGTTCTTCGGAGTTGGAGCTTTTGTCTCTAGCCATCGCCACTTTCCTTGGTCAACTTGGGGTTGGGGCTCGGCCAGGCAGCGCCCTCTATGCTTCTCGCATGCCTCATCATCAGCTGGCGGGTGCCGGGCACCCGAAGCTTGCCTTCGAGGTTATCATAGGCCCAGAGTGCGACTTGTCTTGCTTGGAGGCGCATAGGGCCACTAGGTGCCCCAGTAGTGCCCTTTTACCCTTTTTTGGGGGAGGGTTCCCCTACTAAAATAGACTACAGAAAGAAGTTGGTACCCTTAATCTAAGCTCTCTACTGGAGGACCTAGGCCAGAGTGCACCTTGTCCTGGAACGCTCTCCGCTAAGATCTCCCCAGAGCTGCCCTTCTGGGAAGCAGATGGCTTCTGGCTTCGCCCCAAAGGCGCTCGGCCGAACGTGCTGAGGCCGGCTGGGCCTTGCTGAACAGCGGCTTTGCGGTGGGCGACCGGCTGCTGCAGAGGCGCGCAGAGACGTCAACTAGAAAGCACATTTTGTCCATTGGTTGGCTGAACTGCAACTACCAAGACGTTCCAAAATCCCAAAAAGAAGCCAACAGGGAATGTGTTTTTTGTTTTTTGTGATGCTTTGCTTTACTTTGTATAGACCTCGCTGTTTAGCATGCATAGCCTGTGTGGAGAAGTGTCAACTGCATGGCATCAGTGATCCCCTGCACATTTAAAACATGGGCAGGCTAGCGCACCTTCAAATGTTTGGTTTCATGTAAGTCGCCCTAAAAGGTCAATGCAGGGTATCGGGTATGGGTGTGCGGGGGTGGGTGTGCGGGGGTGTGGGGGGGGGGGGGGAAATTTGGTGTCATGTCATTGCCTTTATGAGCATGCAGTGGTGCAGTGGGATGCGGTGCGAAGATATCACCGGAACGGCGGTTTCGCGAAGCAGAGTTGAACCTGAAGACAGCGACACCCAGAAGCCAGAAAGCTGGTAGGTCCTCTTGTTTCCTTTGTCCAGGGACGCAACCTTCTACCCTGAAGAGTCTTGCCAAACCCATTTGGCAAGGCCTGACCAAATTTCAAAGGATGCATCCACGTTTTATCCACTATGTGCACGCCCATACGTCTGCATGCCCACAAGAACGGGGGCCGCTTTCATACATTGTACTGGGACAGGCGTTTTGGCTGCTGCATTCTTTGGGGCATTAAGAGACATTCCTTGCAGTTGGGGCATAGGCTTGAGCGGACGCAACAAATCTCATCTCTTTAGGGACCGCATCATTGGTATTCTTCACGCGCAGAGTCAGCGCAGGCTGATGCTGGCAGCAGACCAGAAGCCGGTGAGGTCCCAGGTTGGTCGCTTTGCGACTCACAAACACACACGCACGCACACACACACACACACACACACACACCGGCCACAGACTATAGACAGACACAGACACAGACAAGACACAGACACAGACACAGGCACAGACAGAGACAGACAGAGACAGACAGACAGAGACAGACACAGATAGACAGACAGACAGACAGACAGACAGACAGACAGACAGACAGCCAGACAGACAGACACAGACACTGACACAGACAAAGACACAGACACAGACACAGACACAGACACAGACACAGACAGACAGACATACAAACACTCAGACACACAGACCCGCAGACACAGGTGAAAAAGCACATGACGGCCGGAAGCATACAAACAGAAGGGAATATGTTTTCAAGTGGCTGCGTCATCGGCCATAGGCAAGACAGCTCCACGAATGAACATTGCTGTCTTGTGTTTTTGCTTCACATGATGCCGGTACGTGGCAGGCAGGCAAACAAATTGGCTTCCCTCAGCCTGATCATAAGTCCCTTTGATCCTTTGATGCTGAAGCCCTGCAATTCGAGACTTTAAAGCTCGTAAAGACATCCAATCATTCGCATGTGCCGTTGCAACTAGGTCGACATCTCCAAGACTGGAGTAACTCTGCTGAACAACCTGGCAGGCTGGACGGGCCTGAATTTCTCGAGGCCCTTTGCGCATTTGGATCGATATCATTTGCACCGTGCCCTGGATGTGGCAGCAGACTCTGTTTCGCATGTCAGGAAAGGTGGAGTAAGCCGCTACAGAACTCTCGCCAGCTGCATTTGGGCCTGCTCACGCCAAGTTTGTTTCCGAAGGTGCGGATGATGTCTTATGCCAGGTATGGTACCGGTGCTCGTGTGCGCTGCTGCGACACAGGAGCGAGTTGATCGTTGGGGTGGGCAGGCAAGGCCTGCGGCTTGGCGTCGGATGTTTGTTCAAATGCTGTTTCTGACTTGTGGGCATTGATGGCTTTGACAAAATCACCATGCCGCAAGTAGGAGAAACTGCCGCAACCTGCAAGCCATGCGGTTTCTTTGCCTTTACACCTTGCAAGGCGGCGCACCTCTTCTTGTGCAAAGTCTGCGTGTGTGTTCGCGTGTAAGAGTGTGAGTCACACCATTGAATGTATCGAGCCCGTGTTGTGAATCGGGCCTAGTGGCTATCCTCGGCCACGAATCACCCGCTTTGTCCTTCATTGTATGGAGTGGGTACAACTGTTTCGCCTTCAAGTCAAGCAAGTGAATACATCCATTGGACAAGTTGGAGCATGATCCCAGATGAGTTTGTTGCCTTGCCGCGGTAGACATGTGGGTTTGACAGCCATGGGGTTGGGGCTCATTTGTTGAGATCCGGTAGGCCACGTGCCTTCTTTGAGTTTGAGGGAGCTAGGGCAAGACAGACTCGTCACCCCTTTGCTGTAAAGCTCACCCTCTTGTCTATGTGTTGCTTTGCTCTGGGTTCTCTTGGAAGGCGGTTTATAAAATATCACTCCCCTGCTTTTGAGAAGGGCATAAAAGGTGTTGCCATGACTTGCCACTGCGAATGCGCAGGAGTGGAATGAGCTTCCTCATTTGCTTGTGGCCTAGACGGCACTGGAATCCGCCCTCCTGCCCTGCTCACCAGAAGCAGAACTTTAAAAAAGGATCATGGTGGCTCCCAGCCATGCCCTTAGCTTCTTAGTTTTTTAGTGTTTAGTGGGGATTTCCTTTTCGGCCACTAAAAGTTAAACTTTTAGCGGGGATCTGAGGACAGCTCAGGGATGAGCTTTTCTCGAATGCCAGCGTCCAACTGTTTTTTTCCTCGCCCCAGGTCAGACCTCTCCTTGACTGCCTACCTTTGGATTGCGGCCTCCTGCGTCGTGGGCGCCACGCTCTCAGCACGGCTGCGAAAGAAGCCCGAGACTGTGACAAGGGCAGCCCTGTTTGAGTGGTCTGAAAGGCACACCAAGAACAAACCGACCAGGTTGTTGTTTCCTAACAGAAGAAAAAAACATGTGCTTCCTTAAAGAAGTGGCAGGGGCTAAAAAAGAAACCAAGACGTGTTTGGGGGGGAGGAGTGGATGTTCGAGTTCAATCCGTCACCTTCTTGTATGCCTTGTACAGACTGATGCCCAGATGGTGTCACCAAGCTCTGGATATGGAACTGTTCAATCAAGCACTTGGCTATATTTGTTTGCAAATTGCGTTGAGTTCGGGGGCTCCCAAGATTTTGAGCCTCCGGACTTTTTTGCATATGGCTAGGCTCCAAGGGGCGTGTGCCAATGCTGCACCATGGCTGTGGACAAATAAAGTTGTGGATTGCTGGGGAGTGTTCCCCTCAAGAAAGCAAAGGATCAGGATCCCGTCTAAAGTAGATGCCCGATCCCCCGCGAAGAATAAACCGGGAGGGTCGTTCGTCAGACTTTCAGGACTCCTTTTGCTGGCTTCTTGCGTGAAGCACAGCCATCAATGCTCATTTTAGAGCTGTTTCGGGATTTCTTGTGCGTTTTCCTGTAGTGAAGCCCGACAAGAATCCAAACCACCCCTTCAAGGAAAACAGGGTATGCGACCACCATAGACAAAAAATATGAAGGGTATGCGCCCCAGTTTTTCCTGGGGTTGGCATTGGCTCACTCCCTGAATTCCCACTTTGTACGTGGCTCCCAGCCATCCCCTTAGCTTCTTAGCCTTTGAGTGTTTAGTGGGGGTTTCCATTTGGCCCACTAAAAGTTCAACTTTTAGAGGGGGATCTGAGGACAGCTCAGGTACTTTTTGGTAAAACCCATCCTAGGGGCAAACAGGAAGTTTGGTCCAGGACCCCCCACTGGCTGGCAAATAACCCCAAAACTGCCATTGGGAGGTCATTCCACGGACCATTTGCCAGCCATTGCGGGGGGGGGGGGGGTTACTTTGTTTGGTCCGAATCCCCTCGATGGGAAGTGAGGTGGACATACTCTCTCAGCAAGGAACTCGACTCAGGTGGGCATCAGCTACACCGGCATTTGGTGCCAGAGCCTGATCAGTACGAGCCTCGATGCGTGAGAAGAAGCTTTGGTGCATTTTGCCAAGGGATGTTAAGACTTTAACTTTTTGCCAACTCATGGGTTTTCCATTAAACCACTAAAAGTTAAACTTTTAATTAGCAGGGGAGCAGAAAGCAAATGAGGTCAGTTGCAAACACATGGCCACGAGTCGTTGCAGTGGCAATGTTTTGTTTGGTGAAACCCATTGCTTTCCCTCGGGGATTACATCACCCTGGAAACCGATCATTTCCTCGGCTTGCCAACGAACTGTCTGAGCCCAATCTCCTAATATGAGTTGCTTGGAGTGCTCTGACAGCCATTCGGAAGGCCTGATTTGACCGGGCCCATGCCAACAGCGTCCTGCAAAAAACTCAGATGAAAGGAGGAAGGGCGGGGTAGCATCATGGATTCACAAGCGCCCAGGCGCCACTGGGTTTCTCATCCTGATAAACGTCAACAAGTTTGCCATCATTATCATTGAGGCGCCGGGTGTTTGTCACAGCCATAAGTGTCCTTTTTGGTTGTTTTACTAGAAAAATAGATGGCACTGGTTTACCTGGTGGTTTAATCATCTACCAGGGCCATTCATTTCCCCTAAAAGGACACCTATGGTCACAGCGTGACTCGCATGCTCCGAGGACTTGTTTTGCACTTCTCCGGAATCGCGGGGGTGGCCATGGATTCAGCCACACGTCCGATTTTTTGTCACCAAAGTGTTTAGCGATCAAAGCTTGACTGCTGTTGGGTTGGATCTTTAGACTTTGACTTTTTGGTTGAAATATTGTGGTGTTTTCCACTAAACCCCCAAAAAGTGAGAAGCTTTTTGCTGGGGGGTCGTTGCAGCAACCAAGAAAAGTCTGGCCTCCTTCTGAGCCTTCCGCTCCAGTGAGAAAGGGAGAAACATATTGCTGGTGCTCAGTAGGGAATAACCGAGTCCGGGTGTTGGGAATGAACCGAATTTGGGGTTGCCCTCAAAGGAATCCATAGGTTGGATAGCTTTTTGCGGGGTCATTCCGTTTCTCATTCCCTGCCTATCTTGCTGGTTCTCAGCAGAGAATGAGGGAATGACCCCATTTTAAACCATCCAACTGGTGGTTTCTTTTAAGGGGACCAAAGCCTGGGTTCATTCCCACATTCCCTAGCTATCGCACAAGCAAAGCAAGACAAGCAGGACACATTTGTCATTCGCAGGCCTTGTGGATGTCAAAAGAGCTCACTTGGGCCCAAGTGGTCGGCGCAGTGCGCGGCACCCGGTGCAGAAATCATGCTTTGCCGTTTTCAAAGTTAGTACCCCTTCGGTGTTTTTTTCTTTTTCAGGAAGCTCCAAAAAAAGCCACCATTTTGGGGGGTCTTCTAAGAAAGACAAAGCCATCTTGACTTTGGCGCAAGTGAGCGGACAGACACCTCAAATTGCTTCAAGCAGCAGAGCGCATGAAACAAAAACACACACACACATACCACACTGCCATCACTCAAATACAAACTGACAATGACTAGCGCGAGTCTGTCCACCACAAGCCAAGTTCCAGTTTTCAGGCTGGCAGTTTTCCCGACTGCGTAGCGAAGGATTCCCGTCAAAGGGGTCTGCGGGGTCGAGACTTGTCGGTGCGGCCGTTTCCGCGTCCGCGTGCGGCAAAGTTGCCGTGCCATCCGGATTCCTGCGAAACGCAGCATTGTCATGAATTTGGAAGCGCTGAATTCGTTGAGCCTGTGCACCGCCATTGTGATTTTTGTTTCAGGGGCGCAGTCGTTTGGAGGTGTCTTGCTTGGCAAGTGCGTGCAAGGCATTTGCGCGAGTTCATTTTTGTTGGACTTTGTCGTGCAATCAGCTCGCTTTGGTGAGCTTGATGTTTGCCGGAATCGGCGCAAATCAATTTGCCGCCACGGTCCCGTGCTCGTTTTGGATGCGCACCATAGGCAAAATTGGATTTCGTGGCAGGCGCGATATTTCGAACAATGCAAGCGCACTTGTTTGGTCACAGGCGCAGTCATTTTGAAGGACTTCAGCCAAGACAACCGCAAGGACATCCCCAAAGACACCCCCAAAAACATTCCTCAAAGTCAAAGACCTCCCCCGAAGACAACATTCCAAAGGCTCCCGAAGTACTGCGCCTGCCTCGAAATCCAAAATACTGGGCCTGCCACAGAACCTGTGCGCCAAGCTCCGAAGCATTGCGCCTGCCATTCCCACGGTCAAGCTGATGATATGGTTGTCAGATATCAACGAGACTGGTATGCTGTGAGTGCTGTGTGTTTTCTGTGTAAATGACTCATGCTGCAAACGCAGAAACAGGTCACTTTGCAGCATACCAACTGCAGTGACAGAGGATCAAAAGCGTTGACCAAGGATAGATAACAGTTAGCTTTTCTATCTTAAGCTAGGATGTACATAGGAACTGCTTTGCAAATAGGGGTTTGATTCAACTCAACTAGCATTCAAATGTAGCTTAGATTAAGAAGTGAATAATTAAATTTGATCCTTCGTATCATATCTTACGTTATTCAAAGTAAGATAGCATTCGCTCGCGTTGTTTCATTGGGCGCCAATTGAAAGAAACAACACCGCTTCCTTTCTGTATGAAGTTCCATTCAAGATCTAAACTTCGCAAGACACATGCAGAAAGGAATTCCGATTGAAGCTTTAGCTTGTTGAGGGTCCCCACCCACCTCCAGAAATGCCACATGTCCCAGTCATTGGAAGTCTGTCTGGCGCGCACTGGCTGTTTTCCTGGCCAAGCTTTAACTTAGTTGTTGTTGTTTTTGCTTGACATTCTTTGCCCAGACTTCCCGCGCCATCCACCCTGTCCAAGGGACCAGTTGAAAGCCGACAACCCCCTATTTTGTCTGGTTCAGTATTTAACCCCAGGCAGATACTACAAAGATAGCAATATTTGAGAAAAAAGGAAGACAAAGGGGATGACATGTTCTTTGAAAATCATCGCAGACATTTGGCCAGAGCTTGGTCCCCGTACCAACCTTCACGCAAAAAGGCAAGAGTAAAAGACAGCGAACAGAGTAACTGCGCAAAAAGGCGAACATGAACGTGTCTTTGATACTGCCTCACCAGGCGGCAGGGGTCCCTAGGCATGTGGCATTTACAATGGGCGCAATTGCAAAAGAACCAGATGATCAAAAATTGGGCAAGGCACGGGTGTGCGCAGCAACTTGTATGGAGATGTGCCCTTTCTGACAGCGCAACAAAGGAAAGGAACAAAAAACGACACGGTGGGTTGCACAGAAAAACGTTTAAAACGCGCACCACTCACAGCATACCCCTCTCTCGGAAATGTCCTGAGCGCAGCGGATTTTGCTCAACCACTTTTGCCTCCTTATTGCCTTTGGCTTCTGATTTTCTGAGATTCAGACCGGAAACAACATCGAGAAATTCAAAGAACTCAACAGACAAGCTGACAGAGGACATGGTTGGGTCTTTCTCACCCACATGTCTGAAACCGAACAAAAACATCGAGAAATCACCACAAGCTGTAAAAGAACAACACAATCTGACAAAGGAAAATGGGTCGTGCCCACCAACAAATGAGAAACCGAAAAACCAGAAATCGAAGCACAACAATCTGACAAAGGACATGTTTGTGTCTTGCTCAGAAACAATATTCTAGTGAGAGATTGGTTATGTTGTTGTTTTCCGATTTATCAGATGTGTTTGTTTGGTTTGCTATTTACTGCTTGCAACGAATCTTCCTTGCCAAAGTGTTTTGTTTATTGATTTATATTTGCATTTGGAAAAGGAGTTCATGATCAAAGGAGTTTGATGAACATTTGATTCGACCTTAAGCGTTGTTTAATCAGAACACCGTTTATGTTTGTTTTTGTTGCAGGCATCCCACCCAAAAAAAACACTTCATCAATTTTGATCAAGTTGACTATTGTTTGATCAAATTTGATCAACACCATGCACTTGATCAAATTGGATCAACATTGATCAGACTTTTTTGGGGGGGAAGCATGTCCACGTGCAGTTTGAACGCCTGGAACAGTAAAACAAGCTCAAGTGAAGTGTCAAACCCCTTGCAAAGAGGTTAGAAAAGGGTGTCACTCATGGCAACTTGACCCAAGACAAGGGTGTCATCCATGATAATCTGTCAGAATTTGCTCACCCATTGAAAACTGGAGTCCACAAGAAGGTCAAGTCCTCGAAAAGTTGAGCATTTGTTTGTCAAATATTTGGTCCGCAAAATGTGGATCCTACAGGAACAGGGGTTCTCAAAACATCCTGAAATCACATGTTCAACATATTTTGACAGTTGTGTTTGGCCTGCAAATTTTTGAGGCCACAGGATGCTGCTGTCCAAACCACATTCCTTGCCTGTATGGTCCATAATATAGTCGTCCATATTGTAGTCACCATTGGTTTGTCCAGTTTGTGGCCTGCAGCATTTAAAGGCCACAGGAAATTGTAATCCAAACATTTTCCGTAACTGCTATTGTTCAACATATATTGGCCCATCCAAGTTGTAGTCACCAATCATTCTGTCTCATATGTGGCCTGCAGAAGTTCGAGGCCGGCATGGGAAATTGCAACCCAGAGATGTCCCTTACTTTTTTCTTGAACACATTTTGAGCCATAAAAAAACGTATGGTCACCAATTGTCCTGTCAATCATTTGGCCTGCAAGCTTTTGAGGCCACCGAAAGTTGTAGTCCAACAACATGTTTCTTCACTATATGTTCAATCTCTGTTCATCCGCTAGACCATGTGGACGCACACCACGGTTGTGTCAAACATATGGCCTGCAAAATATTGAGGCCGCAGGATTTTGTAGTCCAAACATGTTGCTTAACCATGATTGTTCAACCAACATGACTCATACATATTTGTAGTCACAGTTTTTCTACCAATCATTTAGTTTTGAGGCCATAGGAAGTTGTAGTAGTCCAGAGATGTTCTATATTTAGATTTGCAACTACTTTGGCCATGAACAATCGTGGTCGTCCATTTGCTGTCAAACGGTTGGCCTGCAAAGGTTCTGCATTCCAAACAAGTTGGTTTAACTATATGTTCAAAAAATGTGTGTCCATGAACAAATTGTAGTTACACATGTTGTCAAATATTTGGCCTTGCAAACGTTTGAGACCAAAGGGGTTGTAGTCCAAAAACATGTTCATCCACTATAGTTGAAAGTATGTGTGTCCAAAAAACAATGTAGGCACCATTTGTTTGTCAAATGTGGGGCCTACATCACTTTAAGGACACACAAATATTAGTCGAGGAGTTGTCCTTAAGTGCAGTTCTTCCAGTTGGTTCACCCACAAATATGCGTGGTCCCAATTTGTGTTGTCACCAAATACTTGTTATGTCCTTTGGTTTTCCTCAACCTTGGTTTGTTACACCCATCCACAGCTGTATGTCTGAAAAGCATTCCTTGTTTAATAATGTTGACACTTCCTGTTCACTGGGCCTTCCACATTGTTCATGTAGATGTTTGTGTTGTCTCTTCGGCATCCCAACATTTGGTTCATATTTTTCAGTGCTCGGATTTACCATGCGCTGGGCCTCCCAAAATTTGGTTTGACAAGTTTTCGGTTCGTACAATGGGTATTTTTGCTGGTCCCACCATTTGTTGTGTTTTCCGGCTTCCTTAACTTGTAGTTCAAGCGTTTTGTCTTCGATTGGGCCTCCTAATTTTGTGATAGTGTGTGCCACTGTTGTGAGGGAACACATCCTGTAGCAGCCCCATGGGGAATTGATATTTACAGACATAATATCAACATGTGTACATCAATGTACTGTCATATGTACATATCGTTGTATGTAAACCAATATGTAAGATAGACATATGCAAATAAATACACATATATATATATACATATGCGGTGTAGAAATTCAATGAAACCAAAACAGATGCCTCAGGAAAATACTTGCAGAAAAATGGTTGATTTGGCCATGCAGAAGCTGGAACGCAGATCAATATTGAGATCAAGAAAAACAGTCTCAGTTTCAAATCCTGGATCCTCCATCGTAGCAAAATTTATGCCTCCCCCCTGGTTCGATACACAAATTGACACTTTGTAGCGTTTTTCCTCCACAATTGCTTTCGAGCATTTTTTGCGGATTCGAGCAGAAACCAATTTCGGTAGTTTCAGATTCTTTCACAGGGGCGAGTTTTGGGAAGAGTCATCAACAAAAACAAAACGAGCGCAAGTCGGCGCAAAAAAGTGCAAACAAGTGCACAGGTGCGGGGAATGGGTTCAGACGGGCGCATGATTGCTGACAACTCGAGCAACTGTTGTTGAATTGTACATTTATTTTAGAACCGGTTTTGACGAGCAGAAATATTTCGAGCAAAAACTAATGTATCAATGATGGAGGCTGCAGGATCAGTATGGTTCAACATGTTTGCAAAACATATGAAGTTAGAAAAGGCATGAAATACATTAATACTAGCCAGAAAGTATGTTCTGGGCTCGCTTGCACCAAGGATCACAGTCTTCGGCGGCGTCACCTACGGCAAGGCTCACCGGGACGTCGATGCAAGTTGTTCATGGCAAGCGTCATGCACGGATGAGAGTCTGAAATGGCCACCCTTTTGATTCTCCCAATTTTATGAGAATACTGTTTGTTTTCCTTGTCGGTTGTAATTCAAGGAAACCCATGAATCAAAGAGTCCCTGGCTTGAGCTCCCTTGAACTTGTGGATTCATCTCTTTGATCTGATTCGGAGGTGGTCTTGCAAGATGGTTCCGCATTGAACGGCGTCATGTTCGCACAGCTGATCCTTCCGGATGGCAAACCTGTCTTTGAGCATTACCCAGGCATGTGGAAGCATGTGTTCAGAAATCAACATGAAAAGTGACAACTGCCCAGGTGAGAAAAGTCATTGCACAAGTTGAAGCAACCAATCATGGCGTCTCTATGTTTGGCTTGCATAATTTTGTTTCAAGAGCATAGCCTCGCAAGGCGCAGGAGGCACTTGCGGAAAAAGAGAAGGACTCGGAGAAGGAGCCTTTGGCCGGGGCTCTAAGATGCAGGGTCGCGCCAGATCACTGTTGTTTTCTTTTAAAATACGGTTGGGATTATTAAATAGTTTTTTCTGGCTCAGGATCTCTCATGGACAAGTCTCACTGACGTTCATTTGCTTGAGTGTGACATAGTGAGCCAATCTGACAAAGGATTTTGCTGCTAAATCAAAATGAGCGCAAAATGAGGCACAAGTTTCAAACGGTTCTTTTGTGCTCGCGCTATTCTGCATGTGGCATTCGCTCTCAGGTTGCCCAGACTGCATGAGGAGAGTCCATCCCATGCTTCAATGAAGCTCGGCGCCGGCGCCCTGCCCGGATTCTGCAACGACATTGCGTAGCAGGTGCCCAAAAGGCGGAATATAAATATGTTTGTATGAGTATGCAAACCTAATTATGCATATTATAGTTTGATTCGATAGTTCTTAATTTTAGACAATTGTTTAAATGATGTTGGTATGTTTGAGAAATATAGGAATAGTTATGTATGGATTGAAATAATTGGTTTTAATAAGTTGATTTTGATATTGATAAATTTGATGATTATTTTTATATTTTAGATAATTGATCATTGTAGGGTTTTGTTTATTTTATTTTTTTATTTTTTTATGTGGGTGCATTTTTGTAAGATTGATGGTAGGGTAATAGTGTATGTAAATCGGGTGTTGGTATTTGTGTTATGTTGGGGTGTTGGTATAGGTATTATGTTGGGTTGTTAGTGTTTAGTTTTTGTGAGATTGCTAATTATATGTGTGTTGGGGGGATGATTCATATTGATATCTAAAAAACACACACACGCACACACACACACACACACACACCCTAGGGTTTATATTATAAATTTTGGGTATTGTGTTGAATGTGATGAATATTGTTTATATATGTATATATAAAGGTTTACCATATTTTAATAGATATGATAATAGATTAATATAATGAATATTATAATATGTAGTAAAGGTAAATGATACATATGTTCAATCATAATGGGCCAGTTTAATTCTAATTCATCCAAGTAAACATAGCATTCGTCCATCTTAGTAGGTTCAGGTGTGTTTTTCCATCCCTCATTCATCAACGTTGATCTCGATTACCATCAGATGGCTCCAACGGTTCCACGGCACTTTGAGGAGCTCACCAAGGATGCCTCTGTACCATGTGATGGACACTTCAGGCTTCCACTCAAGGGAAACCGAACCTGCGCTGCCGTTAGCTGGCATCGTAGGTGAAGCGGACATCTGTTTTTTTGTGTTGACCAGACTTCGTCGATACAAGATGAACGTATTTAATTTCGCAGACTTGCTGAAAAGCCATCTGAATTTCCAGAACCATCTTTGTTCTGCGCAGCTTGCGCTTCAAATTGACAGAGCCGAACACTCGCATACCAACTGCGAAAGTTGTCGCTGCGTGCGGCACTTGCAGGCCACGGAAAGGCATCGCTGTCATCGTGGCGTCCGAACAACCAAGTGTCATTGGTTGTTGCTTCTAAATACATGATTGTTACCTAAAACAGATCTAGATACATATCAAGACACGTAATATTAAACACTGAACACTGAAGATGAATCTTCATCCAGCCTAGCCACTTCTATCCTTTTTTCAGAAAACATCAGTCGGCCAGGCTTCTTGCGTCACGAGCGCTGTTTGGGCTTAAGGGTTTCGGCGACACCTGCGCCATGATGTTTGGCAGACTCGCGCTGCTTGCCGGGCTTTCTTTGGCGGCGGGTGAGGTGTGCGCAAATTGTGAGCAGGTGAGTCTGCTCCAGTCGAAGACCGACCAGAAGACACAGAGGTCTCACAGTATCGTTGTCAAGGGACCTGATCCCTCTGGCGGTACCGCATCTCAAAGTCTTGCTCCTACATGTGCGGAGGGCTTCAATGCGGCGTACCTGAAATGCCTGGGAGGCGCGAACAACTACTTGATGCTCTTGGTCACAAATGACGATGATACCAAGGCCTACTGTGCCTACACGGGTGGTTGGGCTCAGACCCCCGAGAACTACCCGGATCACAGCGCGTGCTTTGCGAGTCCTGGTGAGAGCGAGGCCTTATTCTTTGACAGCGCGAGCCAAACCTTGCTGAACTGGGACAAGGAGACAATCGTGTCGGGACCTCTGAAGCAGGACTACACCAGTTTATCTTGCACTGGACAGGGTGATGCACCTTGCAAATCCACGGTGGAGAATAAATATGCCCGGCAGCTGACAAAAGAAGCTCAACAGAATCTGGCTGTTTTCTCGCTTGCAGTGTGTCACGATTCAGCTTTTGAAGCTGAAGTCGACAAGCCATGACAGCAATGCGTATGATTCCGGAAAGTGGTGAATTGTTCTTTCTCTTACAGGGTTCTTTCAAATTATTCCTCGCACCTCGAATTTCCACAAGCCTTTAGTTGATCACATGGAATTCATCTCTAAGATTGTTGAATTGAATTGGCGAGCATCTCCTGCCAGTCTATTCTGTTCATGTTGGCTTCCAGAAAAAAGTCGGGGGGAGCCAAGTTGTCCAACCCATACCCAGTGGGTCGAAACTCAGGTTGTTTGCCAATGCTAGGAGATAGCTTCATTTTCCTTCCGTACGGATTGTCATGGTCAATATTATGCGTTTGACTTCTTGAATGCCCAATTGCCAATATGTCATATGTTTGGGCATGGCACACATGGTGCATGCAGATCCTCGAGCCAAGGGTGGCAAGCCGTGGAAAGACGTCCCTGCTGGTGGCGAATATTCCTTCAGCTGGGACCCTTCGGATGGCTACATCGGAGTCACCACAAAGACTCCCCAGACGATCCTGGCCCACTAAAGCATGTAAAGAGCTTGACTGCTATTGGGTTGGATCTTTAGACTAACTTTTTGTGAAATAAAGGGGTTTTCCACTAAACCCCCAAAAAGTCAAGCTTTTTGCAGGGGGGTCAACAGCAACCAAGAGAAGCATACCCTTTCGAAAACATCCCAATCATGGCAACATTGAACCTGCGGCGGGAGGTTTGTCCATTCGATGTGTTTGGTTTGTTCATTTTGCTTCATTCGGAAAGGACCATCCATGAGATGTGACCAGGCTCAAGTTTGCCCATTTTCGCTTGACCTGATGTTGAACCATTTCCATTATCCTCAAGTGAGCTGATGCCTGTAGTGGCTTCCGAGCTTTTAATTGCAGTTTGTTGACAAGAGTGGACGATCTGAAGTCCATCTGTTCCTTTCAGGGAAAGGATATTTGATAATTCGAATGAATCCTCTCAAACATGTGCCAACGATTACTGATATTGGTGCGGCAAGAAATCCGAAAGTTTTATCAGGCTTCCCTCAAGACTTCCAATCGATAGCTTGGGTCGCTTAAAGTGAGCATTTTTAGGGGTTAATAGTTTTCAATATTACTTTTGGTGTTGTTTTCCCTTTAAACCGCAAAGAATCACTTTAATGGACTCAATTTCGCTGAGGATATACTCCATGTACATCAAGAACAATTTGGGCTCCAGCAGCAGCAGCGGCCTCTCCGCGGACGTGCCATGCTCCAAAGATAGCTCAGTGGAGTGGCAGGCCAAGAATTTCCCTGTGAAAGGTTTGGACGGCGGTTGTCAGAAGGACCGAGCCCGGCAGAGTGGGGCTTTAAGCTTGACTGGGTTGGATCTTTAGACTTTAGCTTTTGGGGAAGTAATGGCGTTTCCCACTAAGCCGCCAAAAAGCTAAACTTTTTGCGGCGGGGTCAACATCGACCAAGTAAGCGCCCTTTTTGTAATCAGGGAGGCTGGCGGCGGGGTTGCTCTCCGAATCATTGGCGGATGAGCCTGTTGGCGCTTTGTGTCGGGGGAGACTAACACAGAGATGCCAACCCAGAGAATGATGATCCACGGGGTGTTTGTTTGATTCGTTGCTTGGACTCTATATTGATATAGAGTTGTTACAAGCATGCGCTTTGTCATAGGATGAACAACACTTTACCTCTTGCCAGGACAACGATGATTATTGGATGGCATTCGGCAGCGGTGAGATCACTATTTGTTTCCCTGGTGTCGCCTGTTAACGGTTATATAAGCGATGTGTGGACTTCTGGAGCCAGACGTGCTCTTGTAGTATAGCAATCTCAAGTTGGTCTTGGTTTCAATGTACTATGCGGAATGCTAGCTAATTAACGATGGACTAAATTGTCTAAAATGAGAAACAGATGTGTGCATTTATGGAATACTATTATACTGATTTGATACATCATATTTTTGAACTTGTGTAAAATGTATGAGTATCTGTTTTTTGTTAGTTAGTT